TATTGACAATTTAAACCCTTTAGTTATTTCTTTTCAAAATATGCATGCAACCAATTGTGACCGAGGTCAGAGGTCATCAAGATAAGATTATATATCCAGACACTCACCTTGCAAATGCATCAGCACTGAGGACACATCCTATAATATTACCAAGATGTGGTACATTATTGACATAAGGCAATGCACTTGTGATAAGAATATTTTCTTTATTTTCAACTGGATATCTAATGTCAACAAAAAGAAACAAAATTAATTAACAACCAAAATACAAATAGCTCAAGATAATGTAATACACTCAAAGGAATCAATATTAGTGGATGTCCTGAAGTATTTCTAAATATCAAAAGTGGTTGTCTATTTGGGACAACCATTAAAATTAAAACAAAAATCACAATTTCATCACACTGACATTATCAACATTTTTTCTGAAACAATTTATAGTTTAGACATTTCTTTTGAGGAGTTGAAGTCCAGCCATGAATTTTACTGACGTTGTAGATGCCAAAACATTTTCAGATTTACGACTAGTTTTCAGAATAGTTGTCCCATTTTTGTCTTAATTTTTATCTTGGCAGTCATGTGAACTAAACCAAAGGCTAAAGGATTGTTAAAACTCACATTGGATGGCTGGGTCTATACGGCAATGGAGCTGACTTGCAGCCATTATACCATGCATCTGTTGCCATAGCAACCTCTGATGGACTAGCCACAGTACATTTCTCATTTGATTGAACCTACAAATAACAATGTGAAAAATTGTTAACTTACATGTATGTAATACTGTAAAACATGTCTTTTTAGCTACCACATTATTTTAGCTAATCCGAAATTAAGATGTCACTAATTAGAATAAAGTATATTCTTAAGATTAGTAAGTAAGATTATTGGCACTTTAGATAAATTAAGATTTAGTTAATTCATACATCGAGTCAAATTCGCTAAAATGATATGTACATTTTTGTGTGTACAGGTAGCTATTTCAAAGTGTTTTACAGTATTTCATTGACTGATTTTTATTTAGTATTCTGTAAGAGATTGCTAAAGATGTGACATCATGTCATGTGACTGGAATACATATAACACTACCATAAAATTCCTGTTTGAAGCCGCAGCTTTAATTAAAATTCATTTTTTCAATGGACGAATTCAGATGCGTGAAGTCTTGGTGCGGCTTTAATTAGAGCATTCACTTCAGTAACAGTGGTAAATTTTTCTCAGAGAACAAAGGCCAGAAGGGATAGTGATATGCTAATGATATGCACGACACTCGGTTGCAACTTTGTTGCAATTCTAAGCGCACTTTCGGATGTTTACACACAGACAAACTTGTACATGAAATTTCACACTGTATAACATACTGTACAATAAATAATATCCACAAATAGATTTGTATGCATTTGCAGATTACGGTACGATACCGTATACTATATAGACGTCACTCTAATTCGTTAGCACAGGTATAGGTCACAACTGAGAGACAGTCGTCTGACACAGTCGTTTGTGTTTGACTAGTGCCTGTAGAGTGACTGTACCTTCCATGTTCTAATTTAGACATCGGGGAAATTACAGCCAATCAAAAAAAAATGTTCACATGATAACAAAAAAATACTCGGTATATTTAATGTAATATGTATTTATTTTCTTAATTTTGCTTTGATAAAGAAAAGTATATTCTAAAAGAAGTAAAAACAATCAAAGAAAGAAAGAAAGCTTAGAAAGTATTGGAGACACATTAAATATAATTTGAAATTACTTAGCTGAAAACTAATTATGCAAATCAGAAAATTAACATGAACAGATTTGATTGTAAAACTAATGAGGTCTGCGCAATGTAACAAAAACTCTATGTACCAAGTTTAATTGAAATGTGATTAGAACCAAAAAATTATGAATTATTATGCTAATTAGGGAAATAATATGAACAGAGTTTTACCCCAAACTAATTAGGTTTGTACATTATCCTAGGGCATTTTTGTACTAAGTTTCATTAAAATGGAAATTAGTACTTTAATATCAGTGTGAAAGCTTAAAATTGGTTAATTATGCAAATTGGGTAATTAATATGTACAGATTTTACCCACAATTATCCAGGTCTGTCTATTGTCCTACAGCATCCATGTATAACATTCATTGATATGTGATGATTAGTACCTGAGATATCAGTGGGAAAA